TCTGTCTGTTATATGTATATATTGCAGATATTTTCTCTGTCATGTGTCTTTCAGCTATGTTTATTTTGTATTGTTGCCATGCAAAAAAAAGTATTTACTTTTACAAGTTGTATCTCTAAGTCCTAGTCTGTATGGCTTCTTGAACATGTGTCTTATTTAGGAAGGTCTTCCTCTCCTAAAGTTATACAAATACTTTTCTTGAGTTTTCTTCTAATATTATTATTGTTTTGTTTTTTTTTTATGTTTAGCTCTTTAATCCATCTGGAAATGATTTTTGTATATGGTGTGAGGTAGGTATCTACGTGTACTTTTTCAATGAACAGTTCATTGTCCCAATGCTTTGCTTACTAACCCATCATTTCATATATTTGATGCCAATAATGACCCCTGGGTCTGCTTCTAGACTCTATTTTGTTCCATTGATCAACGAAATTTGTCTGTTCCTACGCCCGTAACACAGTGTACGCATTGCTGTGGTTTGATAATATGTTCTGCTATCTGACCAAGCAAGCATACCCCTTGTTGTTCTATTTCAAGTGTATCCTAGTTTTTACCAGGCATTTGCTCCGCTAGACGGCTTTTGCGATCATTGTGTCAATCCCCACACATCATTCCATTGGGGCTTTTATTTGGATTGTGTTGAATTTTTAGATTAATTTGAGTGAGGCCTGGGAGATTTAGGAGATGTATGATACCGAGTCTTCCTATCCCAGGAAAAGACAGGTCTCTCTAATTGTGTAAGCCTTCTTTTATGTTTTTCAATACTTCTCTTTAGCTAGACCTTCTATATTTTCTGCTAAGGTTTAAGCCTAGGAATTTTAAATGTCCTGTTGCTGTTGTTACAAACAATCTCATTTTCTACTGAATTGTGAAGTAAGTCCTTGCTGTCGGTGTATATGAGAATGGTTTCATGTTTGGATGTTCATTTTACTCCTGGGTAGCTTACTAAACCATCTAATTGTTCTGATTGCTTTTTAATGAATCGTCTTGAACAGTCATATCATATGCAGACAAAGGCAGTTTTGACTCTGCCTTTTAAAAAAAAATTTTTTTTTATTGATTTCAAAGAGAGAGGGAGAAGGAAAGAGAGATCGAAACATCAATGATGAGAGAGAATCACCGATTGGCTGCCTCCTGCACGCCCCCTAAAGGGGATCAAGCCCACAACCCAGGCATGTGCCCCTGACTGGAATGGAACCTGGGACCCTTCAGTCCACAGGCCAATGCTCTATCCCCTGAGCCAGACTGGTTAGGGCTTGACTCTGCCTTTTAAATATTCTACCTTGTTTTAATTCTGCTCTATCACATTGGCTAGTACCTCACCCGGACAGTGTTGAGAAAATCAGTGGTAGACGATACCTGTATGGTTCTAATGTGTCATGAGTAAATATGATCGTTAGTGTGTTACATGGAGGACATGACCTTCTGTTAGTAATGAACTAGAGCTTTGAATCGGGAAAGGTGTTGGAAAAGGATAGCTTTTCTCCTTTTACTTTAGTAAATTAAACAGATTTTTTTTTAAAAAAAAATTATTTTATTCCTAGTACATAAAACGTGTTGAGTTATAATGTGGGATTATTATAACCTATTGCTGATTCAATAAGATACTATTTTATTCAGGTTTTGAGACTATGTTCATAACAGAGATGTTTTACACATATGTAGATAAGTTACCTAGACAGTGTCTGTATTCATATGTTAAAGGCTGCTTGCTAAGCTTGGTTGATTGGGTCAACAGGGAATTTGAGCCAGAGTGTGGCTGGGGCAGTTTCTTTTACTTCCTGTTTTGGTTTTGGTTTGGGAAAGTATCAATAGGATAGAAAACTTTAGTAGAACTCACCCATAAGACCATCTGGTCCTGGTACATATTTTTAATGTATTGCTTTTTTTTTTTTACTACAACTGTAATTAGTTTTGTATTTAAGTTTTTATTTTTCTTACCTTTTTCAAAATTAATATTTTCAAGTATTAACTCAATCATGGCATCTATACATCAGATTTTATTGTTGCAATGCTCTTAACATTTTTTCATTGTGTCCTTTGTGTCCGTATTAACCTTGGAAAAGGTTTATGTTACTTTTGAAAGAACTGGCAATTGATTATGTAGATACACGAGCAGTCTGCTTCCCTCTGCCCTTTGGATTGTTTATTTGATTTGTTTTGTACTAATTCCTCATCATATCTTTATTATTTATTTTTTCTTGCTTTCTGTAAATTTGCCTTGTATATCTTTGCTACCTTTTAAAAATAGAATTCTTATTTAATTAAAATCTACTTTAAATTATTTTAGAAATAAGTGCTTAAGTGCTATAAGTTTTTCCCCAAAATTACTTTAGCAATATTTCATAGCTCTCAGTTAATAGGACTGTAATTATTATTATGACAGTTTTAAATTTTATTTTCAATTGTTTTCTTTACCAAATAGTACTCTTTTTAATCAACCAAAGAGAACCTTTTAAAAATTAACCTTTTGTTCTTCATTCCTATGGTATTTTATTTGGTACAGTAAATGTTTCTTACTTTTAGTTTATCTACATTTTTTCCCCCTTGGAACTTTAGATTTCCTTTGAGGTATAACATGGTGATTGGTGTTTGTAAATGATTTTTAGATAATTAAGGATAATATGCGACTTCTTAGGGGGCCTGAAAACACACAACACTCACATCTAACAGTGACAACTCCTTATTTGTATTTTAAAAACACATCTCCACTTACGTTGTCTTCCTGATCTGTTAATTTGTGGAAGAGTGTTTTATTTTCCCATCCTAATTATAGGTGTCAGTTCCCTTTTATTTATAACCTGTTTTACTCTTTATACATTTTTGGTGCTATCTTAATTGGACCGTAAAGCTTTATAATTATCATAAAGGTGAATTTACCATCTTTAAATATGCTATAAATCACTTTGTTGCCATATAGTTCTTGGCATCCTGAAATTTTTCATATATGTATTTAATTTCCGTATATTATCTATTTCATATATATTATCATGTACATGGAATAGTCTATAGTCAACATATATTCATATTTTCTTTTATTGTTTCTCATATTTTTGCATTCTTTCATCTTTAATATTTTCTGATATTTCCTTTTAGATATGCCTTTTATAAAGAACATGCATTTGATTTTTAATATACTTTTTTCTTAACAGATAGTATTTGTATTTACTGTCTATAGTGACATTCCTTAAACATTTTTATTTTGTGCTTTCTACTCACCATTATCCCATTCCTTTGTGTACTGATTTTGTTATTAATTAGAGGTTTTTTGGTCCTATTTTCCTAAAACTGATTTGGAAGCTATATGTTCTATATCTATTCTTCTAGAAGCTACTTTAAAATTGTAGCAAGCTCATTTAAATTTAAGTCATTATAATCAACAGCTGATGGCTGTCTGTGAGCTCCCCTTCCGTCCCTTGTAAGGACAAAGACTTTATCAGGCTTTTAATTATCTCTCTACCTCATTTTCTATGCACTCATGGCTGAAATTATCTAGAAGCTTCATTCCAAATAAGTATTGCTAATAGTGGCAGTGGTAACACTGTTAGCATTATTAGTATTATTATTTACTTTATGACTTTGTTTAATAGAAGCCTTTATTAGTAGTTGCACCCCATTTTGCTACCAAATTAGCAGCCATTTATTTAGATTTAAATTGCATTCGTGTGGCTTATTTGCTTTGCACTGTTTGTTGTACCCCGAGTCAGTGTATATCCTAACATCTCTTTTCTGTTTTCCTGTAGTACAGCCTCAATTAATTTTTGCTGCTTCATTTCCTGTCAGGGCTGTGAGGGGTCAAGTTTCTGAGTCTTGGTTTGTCTGAGAGCTACCTCACCTTCTGTCTTTACACTTGATACGGAGCTGTCTTGATTATAAAATCCCAGGCCGCAAACAACTTCTGCAAATCCCTATCATCGTTTATCTTCTCCATTCCTCCAAGGGGGCCAGGCTAACGTGATTTCTCTTTGGAGAAGCGAGATTGCCCGTCTCCCCCATAAGTCATCCTCCTTAAATGCTCATTATTAGGGTTCCTCCGACCAATCTAGGCTGGCAGTGGCTCTTCTGATTCATAGTTCATCAGGAATTCACAGAGAGCTCTCTTTATCGGCGGTAATCAGTTTCTAACAACAAATCCCAAGTATCAGCCGGAAGTTCCCATCGCTCGGGCTGCCTGTACTAATGATGCACTTAGGCCCCGAGTTCTACAATAGCTGTGACTGTTCCTTCACTTATGCTGATGCCAGCAACCTGTGGGGCGGCGAGGGTCCCCCTAATGTTTTTCCCAGGGGCACCCCAATTTCCGTCCCATCCTCTTGCCCTGGACTCTCAGATCCGTAGGCCTGCCCCCCTCCCCCCCATGGCTGATGTCCTCCTCGGGCGGTTTTGAGAGGTTCCCCTCACTGGCCTGTGAGCGCTTGCTGAGACCTGCTGTGGCTTCTCTCGTGGCCCCGTGGTTTCTCGTTAGCATGTGGTCTTCCATGCTTTTGAACTTCTCCGTCCCCTTCCCTGGAAACACGGAGTCCTAGGTCGTGGTGAGAGAACATCAGGGCGGTCGTGTGGAAATGAAAGGCACATTAGATGCACACGGGCCACATTGTGTCTTAACCACCTTGCCCACGGAGTCGAACCCGAGGCCTGCAGAGACTCCGATACCTGATGCCTCGCTCAGCGACTCTGGACTCCCTCTCACGGTTAGGTGCCCCGTAGCCCCAGATCCTGCCACCGTCTCTCCTCCCGAAATCATCTGCGATCTCTCCTTACCCTCCAGCCAGGGGCCTTTCCATCCTGGAGGTGTGCCCTCTCATGGCTCCTCTAGCCGCCTCTGCTGCTGCAGGTCTCCTCTCGTAGGCTCTGCGCTGGCCTCCGAGCAAGTTGCACGAAGGGGTGTCTGTCTTAGGATTAGATGCATCGGGTGCCTCTCCGTGGGAAGCGTGCAGGGAGACGGGGCTGACCCTGGCCACCAGCTCACCTCTGTGTGCCTCTGTCTCCACCCCTGCCAGGTCGGAGGTCACACCATGCTCCCCATCCGCTGGATGCCCCCCGAAAGCATCATGTACCGGAAGTTCACCACGGAGAGCGACGTGTGGAGCTTCGGGGTTATCCTCTGGGAGATCTTCACCTACGGCAAGCAGCCCTGGTTCCAGCTCTCCAACACGGAGGTACAGGGGCCTCGGGGGGCGGCTGACAGGGGCGAGCTCAGGCCAGGACTCAGACGCAGGGCATGAAGCAGGAGGCATAAGAAGGGGCGGGGAGAGCTCCTTGGTAGGACGAAACGATAGCTGTAGGAAATGAGGTCTAATTACCAAGAGCATGAAATCAGATCTCCGAATTGAGACGCAAGTCACGGTTCTCTGTGCTCTGCCGCTCTCAAAAACCACCGCTGTTCGCCAAGAAAGACAAGGATGACAGAGCCCCTGCGAGGTTTTCAATGGTGCCATCCTGTGGGGACGCCCCGCTCGGTAGGCCCCCGTCGTCTGCGTCCCCAAGGCTCCGGGCCTGCCAGGCTGGGAAAGTGCCGGCCATGAGGGAGGAGGGCAGAGCCCATGTTGTTCACGGGACACAGTGAACTCTAACGGTTAACGCAATAACAGTAAACGCCAGGGGTGCTTCTAATTTACACGAGGCCTAAAGAATACAGATCACATTTAATTTCCAAGCACCTTCGCGATGTGTGGACTCAGTGCTTTTCACACCATCACCTGTTGAGGCGCAGGACAAAGGCAGGGAGGGGGTCGTGTGGGGTCCTGGGATGGCCTGGCCAGGGTCTCAGAGGCATGAGCTTCTAGAACGTGGGGGAGGCTCAGACCCAGGTCGCAAGGCTCTTCTGCTCCCAAAGCCGTTCTGTTATGCCGGCCCTGGAGCCGGGCCGACCCAGGATTCAGTGCAGCTTGTAGACAAGGAGGGGTTTCCTCTCCCAACGCGATAAACCCAGGCGAGATGGCGTTCATCCCCACGGCCTTCTGTTTTCCGGAGAAACGTGCACACAGGGCCTTGTCAGATTGGAGTACAAATATCCAAGAAATTACCTTTTCCTTGGAAGCTGGGTTCATCTGCGCTTTCTTATGCCCTGGCCACTTAACTCAGTGACATGTCATCATTGATAAGCTGAACGGGTCCTGAACACCTTTTCTAAAATAGGACAAAACAGTTTAATGACCTTTTAAAAAAAATAAAAGTGTGTATGTCAGAACCCATTTGTTATGATGTTTTACAAAATTGCTCCTCTCTTCCTGGGGGTGGGACTGGTGGTGGGCACACACGTGCACACGTGTACACACATGCACAGACATGTGCCCTGAGCGCAGCTCGGGGTTGTCTGGTGGCCCCGTAGAGACAGAGCCTGGGCTGAGGGTTTGAGTGGCGGCCGATGCCCTGGACATCCAGGCTGGCCTGGTCGCCAACAGTGTGTCTGGTCCTTTCCAACTGCGTGGTGAGGCCTCGGCCTTGAAGCAGGCATCTTACCCCCATCACCTGTCCCTCCCCACCGCCCCGGCAGCCAGGTGGCAGCCGTCACTGGCAGTCCGGTTCTCTATGGAGATTGGCCGCCTGGTCAGCCCACACTGGGGGGTTCGGGGGGGTGGGGGGGGAGAGACGCGGCTGAGGGCATAGGCGCTGGCCTTAGCAGCTGCTACTGCACTTTGAACTGGGTCCCTTTTCCTGGGGTCGCAGGTGATGGTGGGTGGAAACGGCTCTCGTAAGAGTAGGGACATGAGCTGCCGAAGTCCTACCAGGATGGCCGAGAAGTGAGCCATCGCGGACTCCGGGGTCGACACGACCCGGAAGGAGACGTACGAGGGCTTGACAAGCCAAGCCATCCAGGGTCATCAGGGTGACACTGGGCCACAGGGAGAGAGAAGGAGAAATCCAGACAGAGGCTTCAGGCGCTCCCCAAGGTGTCTGTGTGTTTTGTCAGCGCCACCTATCTTCAAGTGAGGGAACTGCAGCTCGGGGCCGGTGCCGTGCCCCAGGCTAGATGGCGGTAGAGCTAGTAGTGAGAGAGGATAGAACCACCTGAGAAGTGGCAGGTGAAACCTTGAAGATTCACAGGTTCAGCATCACCAGAGAAGGTCCTTGAGGACTTGCAAATGCACCACAGATGACAGGCTCGGCCCCCAGATGCCCAGCTGGGGTGGGGCCAGCCCTTCAAGCTGCGCGTTCCCCGACTCCTCTTTGTGGCTTTCCCTGCGTTGTGGGGGCCATGTGGTCCCCTTCTTGTTCTCACTTGGTCCCCACAGCCCTGGTAGGAGGCGGTCAGAGAAGACGGTGGGTCCCATCGCACAGGCGAGGATGCTGAGCTCCTGTGAGGTCAGGCGTGCACTGGCCCCCCAGCGGGGCGCTGTGAGTCCCCCCTTGCGCTGGGGACTTCAAATTAAATGGCACACGTGGTTTAGTGCGGAGAGCAGGGAGCATGGGCCTTGCCGAGGCATGGAGGCACTCGTGGAGAGGGGCACAGAGGCTGGGACTGAGGGAGCTCCCCAGGAAGTGGGACCCCAGGGGGAGATGGCCATGGAGGGGCCAGGTGGTCCCAGGCTCCCTCAAGGGGTTTCAGAGTCGGGGTGCTCATCAGAGGGGGAGGGGCAGGTCAGAGGCCAGTCCCACTCCCGGGCAGTGAAGTAGCCGGGTCATCCGGAGCAGCTTCAGGCGTGAGGTCAGGGGAGAGGCACTGGGAGTCTATCCGGGAAGGCCCGGCCGGGAGGCGGAGCGCCAGGAACATCTGTGGGCACCCCTGGCGATGCCGCACCAGCCCCCGTCCTTGTCACCCGCACACACAGGACTCACG